TGTGTGTTTGTTTGTGTGTGTGGTGTGTGGTGTGGTGTGTGTGTTGTGTGGGTGTGTGTGTGTGTGTAGTGGCGTGCGTGCGTGCGTGCGTGCGTGCGTGCGTGATGTGTGTGTGTGTGGTCGGAGACTGATCCACTGTGCTCCTGAACCAGTGCTGGGAATAAAAAGACATTCACCAAACCTACCATTTTTCACCGCTTGTCATCAACAGCCAATGATAACATAACCACACCGGGGCTGCTTCCTAACGCGACAATTTCATGGTTTCAGGCACCAGCTCCGGGCCGTGCAGCTGTCCGGCGGGTTTCACGCGGTGCGCTGGCCGCTGTCTGACCCGGCTGCACGAGGCCGTCAATCAAGCGGAGGTAGAAGCCGGCTGTCGACAGCTCGGGCCTCACCTGGCCTTATCCCGCTCTGAGGCCGAAAAACAGTGTGCTAACGACCTGGCCGATGGGGGTTATGTGTGGCTCGGGGTGACTGACAGGGACTGGGTGCATGAGGCAGCTGACGGCTGCGGTGATGTTACGATTCCCTCCTCCTGGTGGGGTCCATATGAATCCAATGGCCGTGGGATGGCGCGAGAAGAATGTGCGCGATTTCCTTATTATACTGGCTGGGCCGATACTAACTGCTTTAATCTGGCCAGGCCTCTGTGCCAGATGGACATATGTCATCGGCCTGAATGTCAGTAACAAGGTGCGCCGGCATTTTGTCATTCGCAGTATCTAAGGACAAAGGGTTGGAGATATGTCGTAAAGCGAATGACCCGGGTTTGGGTAGGAATTCGTCTGTTAAACTTTTTGTGCCTCCAGCCTGTTACGACAGGTCTAGTGGTTGTCGCAGTACTAGTGTAACTAATAATTCATATTTGCTCAGAGCCAACTGAAGACTTGTTCGTGATTGGCCAAATGCAGCGATCCATTAGTAGCCTGCGGGTCCTTTGCGCTAACCAGCAAGGATAAAGAACATCTAAACACTGGGTAATTAGGCCAGTGCAAGCCGGGTGCGCTGCAGTCTGCGCGTGGTGCAATGCAGCTGGCAATTGCTTGGGTCGCTGCCGCGGCCTTACCAATTTCGAACCTCCAAGTCACGTTTTGTAAGCGCAGGAACGAATCTGTCCCCAATTTCCCACGGTTTAGACCGAAGGCTCTTTGAAAGCATGAGCCAAGTCTTCTGTTTCTGTCCCCCACATCCAGGCTAAACCTATGGAAAAACGGATCAGGGTGAAAAAGTGCCTTTTCCGTCACCGACAAAGTTGCAACCGTCTGATATGTCCCTAGGGTCAAATATTTCCGAAACCATTGCAATACAACTCTAAATGCAATATATCTCTTAATGCAATAAACCACAAAAAGCAATGAGAAATTAAACGCAGCGCGGCATAACCATCGAACATTTTTGCTTCGGGAGTTCATTTGCACTAAAGTTTCATTTACTGGCTATGACACACTGGATGAAGGCTGGAAGGATATCATGAAGGATACATTAAATGGAGGAACACTGACCTGACCTGACAGAATTATCAGATAAAGGCACACTTAACATAACAGCCTAAAGGCGTGTAGTTTCCTGTCCAGTTAGGGTGAAGGGATCGTGCCCCGTCACAATTGATGTATCTTCTGTTTTTGTTTATGATTTTCTGAACATTAGTTTTCATGAATGAATATCACTCAAAATTGCTCAGGTTGGGCTCCCACTGATTTTGAGAAACGACCTCTCTGCTCTCAACTACGAAAAGAAAGTGCGTCAAATCTGTTAAGAGAACTGTTTTAAGTGCATTTCGGAGGCAGGCTCAGCAATTTTTTTACTGCCCTCCCCCTTCCCAATCCCTCAACCCTATACATTTTGCAAAACAAACCCTCTGGCCCTACCTTTACCGATAGCATAATTCTACAAGTACCTCAAATAATATCATTTTTGTTTTCGGGACGTCATTATACAATCAGCTGAAAACGTTGGCGGCCTTCATTACCTTGGCAGAATCGTTGCCGGTGCAGAACTCGTACTTCCTAACATGATCCCATTATTTAGAGCAAAACCCATACAATCTTGGCATCAACGGATCCAAACGACATTTTTGAACGCCTCTAGTGCATTCATTTACCTTTATATGCAATATGACGACAACGAAAAGCGTTTTACTTCATGCCTGTCCACCGATCAGTACGCTAAGTTTGGGGTGCATCGGGCAATGTAAGAGGCCCATACCAGCGATGCTCGACCTCTTACCTCCAAGCCTACTGTTCTTCTCAGTAGCAGGAAGCCCCGATGAATCCTTGACATGTGTCGCTCCACCGACATTCGTTTACCTTTGAAGCTAAGGATCAGGTATCCACAAACGATAATCCTAAACGATGGGGCGTTTTAACAATATTACCTTGAATGGAGTGTTCCAACTTTACATGGGGTTTTGAACTGAAATAGCCATCTTGAGGATCTTTTAATGCAGTTTGCGGTCATGCTCTATTTAATCCCCAAAACCCTCTGGTTCCTGAGTTACACACCCGCTAAAGTGGGAAAAGGTTTATGTTAAGACTACTTCAGTCACCTTGGCATTGATGTCGCTATAGAAATGGCATACGATCGCAGCTATATTACAGGCTGTTTTCCGCTTGTGGTCAGAACAGCATGGCCGTTGATACATTCGCAAAAGCGATGATACGGCACGTATAAAACAATCCGCCGAAGGTGATTGGTTGTTAGTAAGACATCGTTGATGTATGCCTGTCGCGAACGTGAACGTGAGCACTTTCGGATTGTGCGGCACTCGCGTCAATGGGGCATTTTTTCTTTTTTTGGCCAGTGATATAAAAAAGTGATTTAGATCAGTGATATAAAAAACACCACTGTCTGCAAAAAGTACGGCACCGAAAACAGACCGGCATTCTCCCGAATTCTACTTTTTAAAAAAAGACGCGACAGCAAATCTATCTCTTTTCTCCTCCTGACATTTCTTTTTCTTCTGCCGTATTTCTTACGGTTTTCTTACGGTCTTACGGCAGCTCGGTTGGCGCATTGTGCACCGAGGCAAGGAACCTCTTATGGGTTTATGGGTTGGCAAGACATTATAAAATTAGGGAAATAGTACAGCAATTTTATAGATATTTTTCACGAAATATTTCACACATCCTGTACAACACATTTAAGTTCTGAACAACAGAGATGTGCCTTACACGCACAACCTCTTGAGTTGCATTGCCTTTAACTCCCGTTGAGACTTTGTTTTCAAGGCAGGTCACGGTGAAATACGATTTTATAACCAAAAACCTATGCGGATACTGTGAGAAAGCCTTCAGTGTGATAGTCCCGCGGGCTGTGCGTGGGATCACACTTATTTCACATTAGAGTGTGAACCAGACGCTTGAAATGTGTGATCACTGGTGGTGCGTGCAGCGGTTTGTATTGATCTTGATGTGATGGGGAATGCGCGGGCAAGGTTTGTACTTCTGAGAGATAACACTGTCTCGGTATTCTTTAAGTCTGGTGACTCCCAATTAAATGTGATATACCGATGCCTGTCCCTATCGTTATGTTTGCGTTTAAACACGACAAGGTAGTGATGCCAGCAGACTGAAAGAAACACTATGACTTCTACTGGAGAGGTACACAAAGGCAATTTGCTACTTCAATGTGATCTTGTCAACATTTTGAACCTATTGAGGCATTACGGCATCTAATAAATCCATTGCATGTTATTTTTTTAGCAATTAATTCTGGCAGTGGGGGCAGGTCTGGGCGGCTGATTTATGCACATGCTTGGTATAACCTCGCAGGATACGGCTTTGCAAAACTGTCTCGTCTTTGAGAATGCTGAAAATACACTGCCGTATTATTATGGATGCACATAGTACCGCCTCAACAAATTTGGTATGCAGGCAAGCATTGCTTGTGAGTCATCAATGTCACAGTCACTGCAACTTGTGTGACATGCTGGGTGCTGAGAAAGTTGGAAAAGTGTTGCTGTTGGTTTCTTTGATAGAACTTAATAATAATTTATCATGAGCCTTGTGTGCCCTGGAAGCTTCCCACTTCCTTGCATTTCACCTATCTAAATATAACTACGTGCACTTGTCACGTCTCCAATCTTGTGCAAGGTCAGCAGGTTTGCAGTGTCATTTCACTACATGTAATATTTTCTTGTTATACATGTGTTATTACTTGTGTGAACAATATTTTTGAATGAAGCAGCCTGATGGCTGCAACATGTTGCATGGGCGTAGAAGCAGAAAACGCGTTTGCAGCTTTGTGGCCTACATTTTGTGAATTTCTGAGATACTGTGAGCAAGTGATGTCACTTATTGGTTGTGCGCTTGCTGGAAGTGAATTGTGTAATGTATCATGTGTTTTTTGTCAGTCATATGTCAGATGCAAAGTTAATACAAGAATGCTGCTTTGCCGACCCTTTCATGATGAACTTTATTATAACAGCAGTAGGGATCGCAGCATAAAAACCATATCATTGTTCATTTTGCCATGCTACGGTGCAGTGCTAAGGTAGTGCCACAACGCCACTTTTGATGAGTGCTATTGCGCAATGTACCACATTGGTTGACTACTCTATGTCAAGCCTATGAGATAACAGGTCATAAATCATAAA